CTGGCTTATCGTGGCAAGCGTCGTCGGTCGGCGCACCGTTCGCTCGCCAGATAGCTCCTTCTCTCCCTCACAAGCTCTCTTTTTTTCTGTCTATCTTATGCCTTTTCTCTTTCTCTCTTTCTCCCTCTCTCTGTCGTCGAAGAGAGAACCGGCGGCGGGAATAGTTACGCGCGGGTATACACACGAGCGAATAGGAGGACGGTTTCTAGCGAAGTGCTAGCTACAGCCAAACGATTGGACATACACCAGCTGTCCGGAGGAAGTTTCTCTGACAAAAATTCCCCCGAGTGTCACTCGATACATCTCTTCGTCTTCGATTGGCAGCGATCGGTAGCAGGAAGGACAAGAGGAAAACCTGTGGAGAAGGGTTTTGGTAAAAGGGTGGTCGGGCCCTTTGAGATAAAGGCGCGCGCCGCATCCTGTTCGAATACTCGGTTCGCGATTGGAGGATGCTGTCTCGGCACATAGCAAACCTTGCGCTAGGTAAAGTGCATCGGGACGCGGAGCATTGCTGATGCCGGCACACGAAGTTTTGACGCGTGACGCGACGCCTTGTGATGGAAATTGGCAAATTCCTTTTGTCGTCGTGCGACCGCGGCGTCGATCTTGCCATGTATTTCCGGAACCAGCGTTGTTGACGTTTCTTCTGCGTCGCGCGCGCGCGTGCTTCCGCGGAAATTAGAACCACCTTGGCTCCTCGTGGCTGAGTTTACGTTTCTTTCAACGGGAGACGGGTCCCTTGTTGACGTTGTCGTTCAGTTTCTTTCATCATTTCGGGTACAATTTATGTAAAGTTGCCGGAATTGGCTCGAAAGGTTTTGAATCTTTAACGCATTCCTCGGTGGTCGAAAAGCTATGAGGTTTTTGCATTATTCATTTGTACAGGCGAAAAGGTATAAAAAATATTTACTAATGTCTTTTTTTAATGCAGCCTACTCTTTTCGAGTATTTCGTTAACCGAGCTCACTGGTCTACGAAATTTTTCCGTATTTGTACTTCAAACTTTCATTAAAATGGTCGGGTGTATAATTTAAGGTTTTATAATATCGAAATTACTTTTTCGTGAATAAATTCGAAATCCCGGGTTGCACGTGAAGAACTTGCTCCTGATGGAACGCATTCGAGCCGCACGCAGTGTCAGTCAGAGTCGTGTTATTTGCTCCCGGTAATCGGCGTATCGAAGTCGCGGCCGTATTTTCGTCGCTTGGCTCCGATACACACGAATCTCTGACGTATGAAAGCAAACGGAGCCGAGGCTGGTTCGCGCGACCGTACCTCCGATCCCGAGAAATTACTGGAGCGACGACGTCTGATGTGTCGTGCCAGGGTCCACGGTGTTCTAACTGTTAACAGTTTACTTAACGAGCTGATAAGAGAACGTAGAGGAAAATTTCCAACGAACTTTTTCCCGGCTACCAATGGAATTATTGATCTATTCCTTTGTCTTCAATACGTTCTTCATCGTGCCGTTTTCAGGACATTTTTCTTCAAAGTTCTTTAGACGAATATTAAACAATTAAATTTTCTTCTATTATATTTATTCGTTAATTTGAACGGAGGAATTTAAACGAGTTTGATCACGCTTTGTTTTCACGGTAAAATTATCTTCCTCGCTGTTTCTTCTCATTGCTCGTCAGATAAGTGGACGTTTTTCGAATTCGCACGTGGCAGCAGCTAGTTGCGTGCTTCGCCTCCACTCAGCTGAGTCATCGTCGGTGCACCTTCCGGTGTACGTCAGAAAATTTTTTTGTTCCTTTCGTCTTATCTTTGCGCACGAATTTAAACGGTAGTCACTGGGGGAATTAATGAAAATCTAAACGACGTGAGCTCCAATACGAGCAATGCCTAAACTAGCACCTGTGTCGATAAATTTTTTCCCTGATGACGACAATCACTAGGCTAACCCTCTTTCGTCCCTTTCGTCAGCTTGACACATCGAGATTAATCTAAAGTTCAGACAATGCAACACATCTTTCCTTTGTATCTACAAAAATCCCATTCCTTCATTTTCTGTACAAGAATTTTCAAACTACTCACAACTACTCATGGTACAACCACATTTCATTCCATTGATTTAAATAAATATTAAAATAACACAATCAATAAAATTAGTTCCACTTTCGTTTCATGTTTAATCTATCAAAAGCTTTCACGAAGGAGAAACACTTTTGACTTCCGTTTCCGCGAACTGGTTTGCGAACACGACCATTTCTTAACGGACTGATTAAATTATTGAAAGAGGGATGAGGATCAACGACTATATTTCCATCGACGAATCCATATGCCCTCGTCCCGTGAGCCGAAACACGCGCGAACAGGAAAATCGTTTCACGGAAAGCATGAAATTCGATCACGCGCGACAGAAATGCGGAATGAATTGCGTGGCCGCGGTGACATTCGGGGCGCCGATGTGCGCGCCGGGTAATCCGAGAAAATAAAATTCGCCGGCAGCGAGCGGAGCAGGGGTTGCCACGATAAGTATTGTCCAGGAGGAGAAATGTCCGGCGTAACCGGCCGCCAAACAATAGCTTTTCATCGTACGCTGTTCAAAAGCGAGGCTCGGTGGAATGACCGTACCAACGGAGACGTTTAATGAACTTAATTATTTCGAACGTCGATGCTTAACCCCTTTGTTGACCGCTATACCACTATTAAGCAGCAACATTGTTTAGCCAGGGAACAGGTGGCCTCGTCGTTGCTCGCATTTCGGAAACATTGATTTTAAATCATTTGTAATTAAAATTCTTCAATAGTACCCGCTGTAATATCCAAGATTTCCTTTGTCTAGATAAAGCAATTCGAATGCTCGTCTTCTGGAAGTATGTACACAGTCTATTCAAAAAATATACACATATTTCGACTGATCGTGAATGCAATGTTTACTAAGTATATCCGTGTCTTGTAATCAAGTTGAAGAAGACGACTGTTAAATCCTTCGAGTTATCGCAGGTGTTCGATCTGATGACCGTTCTGATACAAACACAGCTGATAACGTTCGGAGATGGGACTGCAGTCATCACGAATTATTTCTTCTCACATTCGTCTGTATTCTCTATCAATCACCGTTTTACGAAGCATATGTGCATTTACTTCGAACATGCAACGCAAGGAAACAAAATAAACCAATTCATTAAAAACTACCCTGCATTTTCCACTGATTGCTGTCTGATCTCTATTAACTAGCAGTCTGATTTGTATTCGTCGTTCGGGAGAGACCAATTCTTTTTATAGCTTTATTTTTACTTTTTATCTTCTCGCAGCGAAGTAATTTAGAAGAGAGATTCCACGAAAACTGGATCGGGCGTCGCAACGGATGTACGAATGCAAATAAAACAGGCTAAAAACCTTTTAAAAAGGCACTTTACAACTTCATTAATCCTAAAGATAGCAAGTAAAATATTTGCGTCCGTCCAAATTGTTATAATATTTCTACATGAATCTTTCACTTTCGAAGAATAAAACTGTGGATCGATAGTAATATTGTCAAATCTCCCGGGAACATAACAAATTGCGTAAAAGAAAACATAAAAAAGTTTATCCGATTGCCAACATAAGGGTTAAAACTGGCAACTGGCCAGAGCGCCGCAAAGCGTGAAGTGACACTACTCCTGCGCGAAAATGTGAGATCGTAACTGCAACGTAACGTGACTGGCACCTTGCGTTCCAACTCGAACTCGCGTTGTTTAGACTTTGTCCCCTACCGAAACGTATCGATTAAAAAACCACCTGTTGCAAGCGTCTCGGGTAATTTCGGTTTAGTGGATCGCTCGCGAAAGAAATAAATCTCGGAAGGGCCGCATTCTGGGTGGGGAAATCGCCTCAGTCTCCAGGCCGAGACGGCGCGACGAACGTGCGCGAGATCTATGAACCATCTAATGGCAATTAATGCGGCCAATTTACCGTAATTGCGTCGCGTTCGTTTCGCAGAAGCCTGCGCGCTGAGGCTACTTTGTACAGATTTTCGCCCGGAGTCGAGGTGCACCGCGCGGCTCTTGGATTTATAACCGCGGGGCCGGCTCGTTGGCCAGCAGCCAGCGGATCCTCATGCAAAACGAGCAAGAGGATCGATCTCGAACCGCACGGCGAGATCGATTAGCCGGATGGATCGATAATCGAAAGAGAACAACGAAACTTCGGGCCGACGAGCGGTCTTTTTCCTTCGTGGTGCGGCGTGACGCGCGATAGCCCGATCTGGAAAGAAAAGAGGGGAAGGGAAATAAAGAAGCCGCGCAGAATAGGGGAGAGAAAAAAAAAGCGAAAGTTCGTGCTTTCTAATTAATCAGTCAAGTTAAGTATTCCCGTGCTTAATGGCCGTAATTACCTCTACATGCTTCG